TATATATGCATACATATATGCATATATATATATATATGTATATACAGATATTCTTACATACATCATACATATGTATATACATGAAAACATATATATATATACACATACATATACACACACACACACATACTAAGGCAATATAATCGTGAGTTACGAAGGATCTGGATGCTGGGTTTGGATTGAGGGTGTTGGGGTTTCGGGGGTTGCGCAGGTCTTTCGATGGTTTGCCGGGTTTCTTGACCACGGGTTTACATTACCCCATCCAGCCGTGTAGAGCTTGCAGAACTTATTGGACCCTGAAAGTCCAACAGCACTAAACCCGTACAGTGCGCTATCGAACCTTGCACTCTTAAGGCATCTTTGCACAATCCTTTGTCAGACCCTTTCAAAGGAGAACTTTTTTCCTTGCTGGACTCGCGCCTAAGTGCTCCGGTGAAGAACGGCCACTGACGCTTAGGGATGTACACGGCAGTGCTCAAAGAAGTTCTAATATGGCGGCCGAAATAATTACCAATACTCTTTTGGGGCTGTGTAAGGGTTCAACAGGGGCACCATCCTTGTTATCCGAGCTTGTTAAAGCTTTTGCAGGCTGCAGAAGGTCTGTTTGCTTAATTACAGGACAGTAATCTTGGATCCTTAGAACAAGACACCGTGTCAAGCATTCAGGATTTGAGGTTGAACACCCTAAACCCCTAAACCCTAAACCCTAAACCCCTAAACCAAACCCCTAAACCCCTAAACCCCTGAACCCTAAACCCCCAAACCCTAAGCCCTAAACCTGAGGCTTTAGATGGGTTCAAGCCTAGTCCTGGGCACCTCGCCTAAACCCGAATATAGACGCTTGAACCAGTAATATAGGGCCCTAAATAATTACCAATGTTATTTTCGGGCTCCTTATTATGCATTTAGTATAATGGGCCCCCAAAGCCCTATTCTAATGATTAAGGCCCTTATACTACCAAGATTGCTCCATAAGGGTTCCTTAAGACAGTTCAATCAATTCAGACATTTACACACCCCAAACGCAAAGTTCTTTTGTTAAGAACACTGTACGAAACCCTCATAATAGCAACCTGAATAGTGATAAGCCTTATAGCAGCCCTCGAAGAATCCTTCGGGACTCTTAGAGGAACTCATCCTGCTACGAGGACGAAGAAGACCGAAGCCAGATGCTTGCGGTGCAGACGCCACGCGGGAAGGCAAGTGAGTACGAAAGGTCAAGTTCCAGGGTTGTTTAGGGTTTCAGGTTGAGGGCTATGTTTAGGGTTTAGGGTTTAGGGTTTAGGGTTTCAGGTTGAGGGTTGGGGGAGTTTACAGGCTCAGGGCCTAAGCTAGTGTAGGGTGCAAGATTTATTGAGTTAAAGTTTCGGGTTTGGGGCCCAAGGAACCGTAAGCCGTGAACCCTTAGTGTTTTGGTTGAGAGGTGTGCAAGGCAAAGGGAATCTACATGGTCCAATTAGTCTTCAAGGAGTTGGTCTAAAGGGGATGTAGCTTAACAGCATCCTGGTCTGCGTAATTCAGGGTTCTATTAGTGTGACCTTTGGTAAGAAATCGGTAAGTCCTGTAGAAGCTCTATGATACAAGCCCTATAAAAACCTTGACCCTAAAAACTACACCCCCACACCCTAAATCCTAAACCCTAAAACCCTTTGGGCCCTATAAGCCCCCCTAGAAAGAGCCAAGCGCCCGAAGCCTTGGACCTCAAACCCTAAAGCCTAAACCCTTCTAAACCCTAAACCCTCTAAACCCAAAGCCCTATAAATCCTAAACCCTAAGCCCTATACACCCTAAGCCCTAAACGCCAAACCCTATAAATCCTAAGCACTCTAAGCCCTAAACCCTGTAAAGCCTGAAGCTTAAACCCTAAACCCTTACAAGGCCTAGACCCTAAACAGGTTTAACAAAAACAACCTAAACCCTATAAGCCCTAACCCCTAAACCGCATTAAAAACCCTCAATACCCTATAAATCCTAAAAAATCCCATAAAGCCTAAATCCCCTATAAACCCTTGGAAAACCTTTAAAAAAAAACCTAAAAACCCTAGACCCTTTCTTTTGGGCAGGATCTTTCCACGTACACGGCGAAGATCCCCATGGGCACCCTCGAGGCTTCGACTCAGGGGTTCAGGGCTCTTAGGGCCTTTGGGGTTCAGGGCTTAGGGTTTAGGGGTTTAGGGTTTAGGGGTTTAGGGTTCAGGGCTCTTAGGGCCTTTGGGATTCAGGGCTTTGGGTTTAGGGGTTTAGGGTTTAGGGTTCAGGGCTTAGGGTTTAGGGTTCGGGTTTAGGGTTTAGGGTTTAAGGCAGGGCCTTCGGGTGCTATAAGGGTTCTACACGGGTTCTATAGTGATATACGGGTTTCGGGGTTTTGGGCGTTAGGGTTTTAGTTTCAGGGGGGGGCATTTGGTAGGGTTTTAGGGTTTAGGGTTCTCAGGCTTTAGGATTTAAACCCTAAGCCCTAAACCCTAATTGGGTTTAGGGTTTAGCTCTTGGTTAGAGCTTGGGGGGCTTGTCCAGATCGGGGTCTCGAGGACCCTCATCCGCTCAACCGTAATTCTGTGTTACAAGGTCTGGGGTTTAGGGTTTAGGCTTTAGGGTTTAGGGGTCTGGGGTTTAGGGTTGAGGGTTAAGGTGCGCTAAACATGCCAATGCTACGAAGACCTACACACAAACCCTGAACCCCGAAGCTTAAAACCGCAAAAACCGTGAACCCCAAATCTAAGAACGCGTCCACGGGAAACCTAAAGAACCCAAAGCTCGAAACCTTTAAACGCGAATCTGAAACTTTCGCCGGAGCCGTCCCTGAACCCAGCCGCGGTGCTGTAGGATGCTCAGCCCCAACCTAAAACCCTAACCCCTAAACCCGAAACCCTAACCCCTAAACCCTAAACCCTAAACCCTAAACCCCAATCTTAAAGGGCCAGAGCACTGGAAGAACTCCAGGTTGGGGAGGGGCCCGTTGTTGTTGTACTTCCTGGGACATCGGGTTTTAGGGTTTAGGGAGTTTTGGGTCTCGGCCCTAACCCCAAAAACCCTAAACCCTAAACCCCCACAGGAGCTCAATGGACCGGACTTCAACGCGCCGGGGGCCTCGGAAACCGCGCTGTATCGAGACTTCAATGTTTGCTCCGTGGGTTTTTTTTACAAGGGTTGGTTTTTGGGTTAGGGGTTACATGGGGTTACTATAGGGGTTGGGGTTTGGGATTTAGCGTTTAGGGGTCACTACGCGTTGAGGATTCGTGTTTCGATTTTGTGGAGTTGCATGCTTACTTGGTATTCGACGGCAAAAAAACTTCGTCCTGTTTCTCGGCGCCCCCTATATGTCGAAAAGATGCATCCCCAGTTCCTTGTGGTGTCGGATTCTCTGTGCCTGTGACTCAGCGGAAGTTGGGCTTTCCTAGAATGAAGAGTTCAAGGGTCCTTACAATAAGGATCCTGCAATATCCAGGATTCTATTTAGGCCCCCCGTATTTCTGGAACTCCCATGTTGAGGTTGTATCAAAGAAGATCTGCCGCGTGGGAAGAAAACTTTCCAGTTGAAATCGGGTGCAACATCTGCAGAAACCGTGTAGACCAAATCACGCGACCCCTGATGAGTTTTGCATGCAACAACTCCTCACAGTCCCTCTTTCCCCTAAGCCTTCAACTGTTGATTCCCCCCCGGCCCTAAATCCCAACAGCATTGTGGATCCCTTCAAAAGCCCTGACAGAACCCAAGAAAGCCATCATATCACCCTTACAGAAGCCTCGCAGTGCCCTTACAAAAACCGCAAAATGACGAAGCTCCCAGCACATGGCAAGGCTGGATCAGACGTCGGAAATGAAGATTGCCATCGCCACATACGTGGTCAGGGCACTCAGCGAGGGTTCTACGTGGCCTCCTGGCGTTCGACATAATTTGCAGGTGTAGCTTCGGCGTGGCTATATTGAAAAAGCCCTCAAAACACTAGCCGTACTGTTCGCCACCACCGCTTCCTGTGTTGGGCACATCAGCCACTAGAACAAGCCCCCAACACTGAGCTTCGCTTTTCCCACTGAAGAAAGGGTGCTCCGGCTTTTTTTCATCCACCACTAGCCCTAGTTGAGCCTTTAAAGCTTTGGGTTTAGGGTTTAGGGTTTTTCACGCAGTGTAGACTTGTAGGGTTGTCGAGGGTTTAGGAGAAACGAGCAACCCACGCTGTCAACCCGAAGCTTTCTTTCTGGGCACACCCAATACCCTTGGGTTTAGGGTATAGGGTTTAGGGCCCTGAGCATAAGACTTAAAGCCGTTAACCCTAAACCCTAAACCTTAGGGTTGAGGGTTACACCGACTCCCAGCCGCCTCGCGACTGCATAAGCCCTGCAAAGCCCTCAAGACCCTGAAACCAACGAAGGGTTTAGGGTTTAGGGTTTAGGGTTTAGGTTTTAGGGTTTAGGAAAAAATGCCAAGACAACCGCAAAGCCTGAAACCCCCTTGTACACAGATCTCAACAGACTCCTGACAAACCCCTAAACAACTAAAACCCTCTTATTCAGCCCTAAACCCCCTGCAAAGCCCCTCAAAAAGACAAGAACCTAACATAGGGGCATGGGATTTTGGGGCCATTCTACTATACTTATAATATGGAACCCTCCCAAAATAGTCTTGGACCAAGACCAAGACTATGGTAATTATTTAAGCCCTTTCATTCTGTACGCCCTAAACCCACCCCAGAGCCTAAACCCTAACCCCCGAACCCCTACTCCTTAAACCCTATAAACCCCTAAACCCCTATAACCCCTAAACCCTGAACCCTCCAACTGCCAGACCTGGGTCCATGACGGCTGCGCCAATTGGGCCTCACCCTCGGATGCCGCAAGGGCGGCGGTGAGCGGTCTGGGTGCTTAGGGTTTAGGGTTTAGGGCTTACAGGGTTGAGGGTTTATAGGGTTTAGGGTTTATAGGGTTTAGGGCTTATAAGGGTTTAGGGTGTAGGGTAGTTTCAAGGTGGTTCCGTTCGGGCTCTGCTGGGGTTCTATTGGGCCTGCCTCATGTAGACCCTCGACTTAAGGTTCCCGGTGCAGGGTTTAGGCTTGGTAAATGGGTAGAGTATTAGGCAGGCCGCAGACCATCGCGCGAGCCGTATGGGATGTTTCTGGTTCCTAGTTTTTGTCATGAACAGGTTTCGCAGACTGATTTACTGATGTTGTTGTTGTTGTTGTTGCCATGTTTGCTTTAGATATGAGTTAACACGTGCAAGGGCAATCTGCGTTAGCGTCTGTTTCTCTATCTGCATGTCCTCCTATCTATCTATCTATCTATCTGTCTGTCTGTCTGTCTGTCTATCTATCTATCTATCTATCTATCTATCTATCTAATCGCTTCCCCCATTTATTAAATGCCCCC